TGATGCAATACCCAAAGCTGTATGAAAATGAGGCGCCAAAATATCAAACATTGAGAGGCGGAATAAAAAGATAGATTTGAGAATGAATTCAACAGATAAAACGTAAATACTGCACGTAAAATAGCAAGTACTTCTAGTCCCGTATCACTCTGAAATCACCCACTTCAGCTTTACAATACTCAATCAGGAGCAAAGGACTATCGATCTGTATGGCGTTTTTCTGTTCATGATGTAAATTATCGTTTATTTTCGAATATGATAGGTAAATTCACCCAAACCTATGGCGTAATCAAATGGTGTAAATTCAGGCAACTGAATTGTCTGTAGATAATGCAAACGCCTTAACTCACTGTACTCAAAACTTATTCGTTCAGAATGTCGTCTACGAATGAAGACTGCTGATGGGTTTTAAATAAAACAGTGACAATCTTGTCTCGATAATTGTCTACGCAGGAACGTCTATACAACGCGATCAAAAGAGTGGATTTTCCTAATATGGTTTAATTCAATACACTTGCGTACTGCAACTTGTTTGGGAATATTATATATATATATCTCTTTTATTTGTGACGAATCAAAAAAATTGCATACATTTACAGTAACCCCTCAGATTGGTTTTCAAGGTGCCAAACTATTCGCAGTGTTTGCATACACACCAAATTTGAGGAGGTTAATTTTGTATGTCTGGCATTGTTTGGGAACCTTGTTGGTGCATCTGGACTACTAACAACGCTGTTAGAATCCGTTGGGCCGACACAATTCTTCTACAAATAAAATATATATTAGGTCGACAAAGGGTCAACATCATTGAAAACAGTAAAATTACTAAAATGTTTTATTTCAGAATTCGAAACTCTTGAAGTCTTATTTTTGTGTTGACCATTCCAGTACGATTCATTGTTGTGTATGAATAAAACAGCTTTAGTTCTCCAGTGAACAACAGATTGATTAACCTCGATAAAGAAACACGAGTTTAATTTGTTTGAATATTTTACTGTATAGTAGTACTGACCGATCACGTGATTTTACCGATAATAACCGATACCGATAATAATAATAATTCCTTCCTTCCTCCGCCTCATCGTAAAACGTGCAGAGGAAAGAGTGCTGTTTCCTCAGAATTTATATTTTCTGTTGTTAGTGATTCTCATGTGAGGGGATAGAATGACTTCAAAATAATTAGTGTCACTTTAAGAAGCTGTGCTGCACATCAGGACTAAACCAAAAACCATTATGCACTTGTCTATATGTGTGAGCGCATGATCTCGAAATTGACTGGGGCTGAGTTTGGGCTCCGAACTCGACACAAACACTCGACACGAGTCCCACAGGCTACACCAAAAACGCTATGTTGGCACGTCTCCTTGCAAAGGCAGAGCAGCTGTGCGATGCTCTTGAACACCCGTCATGACGTTGAATTATGTTTTTGAGATGAACGAAAGCAACACATCGCTTACAGTTGTTTCCCAGCTGATAGGGCTTATAGTGTGAAAACAGGAAAGCGTGGTTGAATGATAGAAATGTGTTCCTCAACTAGTATCTGTCGGAAAAATTAATGAACATTGTATCATCCATGTAGCACATGACTGTGTCACATAAACCAATGTTTATAAGTTCAATTGTCATTTATTGTTGCTATGACTATGCCCTCTCCAAATCTGTTGAGAAAATTGTATGAAAATAAATGAGATCTTTTCTGGTCTGGTTTAGCTGGAAGATTGATCGATTGAATATCAGGTTAGTTTTTGCATTCTAATACGTTCTGCGTGTTGAAAGCGTAAGCTGTACAGTCTACAGAAGTGGATAGTGTTCTGAAGAACAATGTTTAGTGGTTCGACTTTAGGGAAGATGTCAAAGTGTCTAGTTACCTGAAAAAGAGTCCTATCGAAAATAATGAACAGTAAAAGCATCTATTCTAACCACCCTCAGACATGATTTTAATGTGCATCTATTTTATTGAATGGTCATCTTTTTTCCTACATCCTGAATGTTTGCGAAGGCACTTGTGAAAAACACCTAATCCTGATAAGTCATGAGTGAGGTTTCCTGGTTCCACTGCAAATGTTCGGCCCCGGCAGGGACACAACTGATGATTCCCGACAAGGGAAGAAAATTCTGTCCAGTTCCTCTTGTGTTGGTCAGCTAAATCCACGGCAAACACACTGCATTCTATGCTTGAGGTGTGAACCACCTATCAGTGAATAAAGATCAGCACCCGAATAGAGAAAATCCTGCACAGCGACTGGCGCTTTGAAATCCAGTGAGCTCATTCGAAATCATACATTCTGATAAAACATTTTTTGTTGTCGACACATTTTACATCTCTAACTCTGCTGACCTGTCGCTGTTCTGGCTGCTACAACGGGCACTGGGATCAGTCAGACCAATCGTCGAGAAAATGGCTTTTCTGAAGGGAACAAAGTCTAACAATAATTGCACGATCTACAGCCGGACAGGAATGAACAATGCCATGTCATTTTTGTACCTTCATGTGGCACCAATACTAACGAGCATACCTGACCGTAATAATAGAAGTATTGGTGAAGATGTTTTCATGTTTGCACTGCTGACTATAATGTGGTAGGCGTCTGGATGAGAAAACCTACTTACTGTTACACAGTTCCGTGAAACTTACATAATAAAATGCTAAAATGTCATAAATCGTTATAGTAATACGCTTTGAACCAGTTTTTTAAATTTATGATGGATGGCACCGTGAACATTGAGATAAAATTTAATATATGAGAAAAAATATTCACATTAATGGGATAAAATAGCGGTATATTAGGGGAGGTGTTGTACGCGAAACAATCGGGTAGTTTGTTTCAAACCCCAGTCTGAAGTATGAAATATGGCGGATTTTGTGTTTGAGTATAAATACACAAAATTGGCCGCATATAGTTCTTCGTTTTTATTTTATCTTTTTATTCAATACATTATGACAATTTCCAGCAAGGAGGAAGCTGTCAGTGAAATAGCTGTCATATTAAACGCAATGAATTTGTGGTGGGACTCGAACACGCGTCATCCGGGGTAATAATTTAATGAAGTACCCACCGGGACACCACTGTGTGCGGGAAATTATGAACAAAACCCGACCTGATGCAGCGTTCAAATAGTCATCAACGTATTGAACGTATTTCTTCACTACACTCATAATGCTCCCAAATCTTTATAATAATTAATAATAGCATGCAATACCCCCCCCCCAAATTTGGAATGTATCCGATTCCCTATTCTGTGATTTGAACTGACTCAAATGTTGGTCGATGATTGACCGGGAAAAAATGAATAATTTTGTTTATTTTTGATACAGTGTTGTTGCTCTCTAGACAGTTTCACTAATATTCCTTCAATCACTTATTCATCCCAACGACGTTTATAACGTTCCAGCCAACCACCCAGCAGGACCAACTAATCACAGTGGGGGAAGCAAGCACACGCATTGTTTGCTGGCACGTGATTGGTCTATTCTGATTACGAAGCAAATAAATGAATGGACTGCCAAAGTGCGTGCACACGTGTCTGTGTGCCGGTGTGTGAGTGCGCGCGTGCTTGTTGGAAGACAATCAGAGAGTGATTTGGGTGATATCCATTTTGCCCCGTATTTCCTGGGTTTCGTAACCTATCGCGACTGTCCATGTGTTTTGGACTGTCATGTTTGATCGTCATAAGTCACTGCTGTCCTAAGGGAAACCAGTTGAATGGCCACTTTGAATCATGATAGTCTGGTTTTCTGTGCATCGCGGACTGTACGGTTCGGGGATTCTGTTTATCACATGTACATTGTCATTGATTTGGTGTGCCATTATACACGACTCGGAATCGGTCGTGTCCAACATGACCGTACCCAGATTTTTGGATAGTTCCACACGAAATCGAGTACTGCAAACTGATGCTGAACGAATGAACGCCTCACGGCGACTGTGGGAGTTGTTCCAGCGCAGAAATCAAGCATCAGAACAATCATCCTCTGTCTTACTCTACCCGTCCAATCGGAAAAACACTTCACGCTTGGATTTGGATCACTCGAGTTGGACAAACCTGAGGGACAATCAAACTCACAATCTGTCTAATCGACGTTTACCCCATCCACTACAGTTGTTACATTTGGACCCGCAACCACAATTCCCCATACACATGCCCCGATTTCCCCCAGAACATCCGTTCAATCCGCGTGCTATTCTCTCTCCAGCAGAAATGCTTCGAATGCTTGGTCGACAAAACTACATTCCCGAATTCATGTCTTTTACTAAACCAATAGAAGCGGTCATGTATCCGGATGGACATCTGACTCCAGTCCGGTTGACGAGGTGGCAAACAAATCAACGTGTTCGAGGTTCCAACATGGGAAGGGACCGAAACAGAAATCGGAATAACCGAAATCAGCCTAGTGAATCACCTGGACTACCAGCAGACTTGACCAGAAGGTTGGAGACAATCGGTTATAATTTGTGGGCCGGTGATTCGCAAACCATAGTGCACCAGTTTAATCGTCAGGCTCGAGGCTCTCGATCCGGTCGAACGCAAACGCAAACGCGAACAGAACGTCGTCGTGCACGACAGAAACGTCGCGTACGCAAAGCTCTACGACGTCTGCTGATGGACTATACCTCTTGTCCAGTCTTGTATCGTTGGCGTGATTGGGGACAGCGTTTTTGGCCCAGATGGATCAAAGAAGGCAAATGTGTGAATCTGGGTCAAACATCGTGTTCCATTCCACCTGGTATGTTTTGTGTGGAAGCCGCACATCGATCTATCGTGGTGCTGCGATTTTTATGCTTCACATCATGGCCACGATCTAGTTGTTCATGGTATCGTTTCAACTTGCCTGTGCTCAGTCGATGTCAATGTGGTTGTCTGACGAAACCAAGTAAAGTTAAATGAAACCAATTCAACCAGATCCCATTTGACAGTAGACTTCCCAGTTGAGTCCGCCATCGAACTTTGTGCAATTATTCCTCAGACTATACCGAAACATTTCTCACGTTTTTATGGACTTCCAAAACCGTTCACTAATCTGCAATGGATCGCCACATGGACAGAGAAACTGTCGTGTTCGATTTATCAATCCTTAAACCGGGACACATATTCAATTGTTCTGTGCAATCTAATTGGATTAATTGAAGTTACCGGTCCACTTTTCACTAACCCGGTTACCAGGTATCGCGAACCACATTCTGTCACTTCTACCTCGTCATAAATACCATATCATCTATGAAGAAAGGTTAGTTGAGATCAATCTTTCATTATCTTTACCCAGTGTTACTCTTTTTGATTATCTTCAGAGCTCAGTCGCTTTCTCTCTCTCTCTCTCTCTCTTTCGCCGTGTTGCTCCTAGAAGTTTGAAGTGACCGAGCCGTCGTTCTGTCTCTCTTTCTCTCACCGTCTCTCATCTATCTTCTTTACCCAATTCCATTTTGTTCTTCCGTGTACATATTACCCTGAGTGCATACATGAGTTCATACAGTTCTACAAACGCGTTCTCGTAAATACCTACACAATTGTGAAAAACCTTAAACAACCTACCGCTCCGTTCGTACCGTTTGCACCACGGTGAGTAGAGATCTCAGAGAGCGTAAAGGAAGAAATCAGCTCACTGCAACGCATTTGAAACTCTCCACATTTCATAGCACCTCAAACCTAAGGTTAATACTACCATCAACTATCCACTTAGGTTTGCTGCGTTCTCAACAATTAAGCTATTATGTTATGCTCGTGGAAAAAATAGAGCTGTCATCAACACGCAAAGTCAACTTTTAGTGTAGTGGACTGAAATTGAGTATTTGTGCACTGTGCACGCACACATACTCCTCCCCTTTCTCTCTCCTTCCCCGTCTAGTTAAATCTCCCTATCCTTCCTCTCCTCACACTGCAATGCATCACAGTTTACCAAATACTTGAAGACCTAGAAAATTTTTATTGACCGATCTCGGTGAAGTCAGTTTATTTGTGTATGCTGTAACACGAGTCTCTAAAGCCATCATTTGACAGATCACATATTTATATTCATTTCTCCTTGATCCAATCACTGTTCACTGTTTGTCTTCGATAAATCACCATGAGTGAGAGGTAGATTAGCTCAAAACGTACGCAGAAAACAATCTATGTCTGGTGACCTCGTCTCCTGATAAACTATGATACTGCTGAGCATAAATCTATGCACAGAGAGAAATCTTGCTCCAAAGCAGATGAATGGTCTACATTCTTTTTTAATTTGACAATGGGGATAAACGGGCGTATGTTGATCACGTGTACCCAGTCCACCAAATCCGCTTTTCACCACGCGAATAAGGCGCGTCTTACTCGTGGTTCTCGCCCATAAAGAGATTTCTGTCCCCAATACGATAAACACAATAGAATAACTATAGTTATTTCACAGAATGACATTTGTCCTCTTCCCGATACTCGTTACTTGTCAAGTGCACCATTCAGGCTGATGCTCCAAACCGGAGGGGTTCACAGACCACATCTATCAGAAATGTCACCGAGCAGTGAACAATTTAATTATCGATCATCCCACACGGAGTTGTGTTCCCAAAATCCAAAATATGTCTATACACTCCCGTCAACCGTAAAACGGATCATTCTCATAATTATGCCTAACAATGAAGTGGTTCGTACGGTTTCCTGGTGAGTACAGTTCATTTGGGATTAAAGATGCACCGTTCTGGTGTTGTGTTTTTCTTGAAAAGTGTTACTAATCAATAGGAAAATGCTTTACATTTTCTAATTACAATGGTTTGCTTACAATGTTTTGGAAAGCATTTTCTCAGTGGATCTTTGTCATACGTAAATTCACACACGGAACGCGGCTACCTTCGTGTTATTAAGTTGGTAAAGGTCAAACCAACTCCCATGTTTTCTTTCATACACCCTTACAATGCGATATGATCTTACAACGATGTAAATAACACTCTGAGGAAAAGTGTAAAAAGATGTTAACGTAACCGTGCAATCAATCAGTACAAAACAAGTAAACTCGATGTAATTATAAAGAAATCTGGCACTGCAACACAATGAGGAATTTGTGTACTGTTGTGTACGGTTACAAATACATGCTTCGTGGACACACATTTAACAGCATAATTCAGTAAGGACGGCGGTAGGAGACGCGTGTTATCAGCGAGAATTGTGCTTTGAAATCATTTGCCAACTTTGGCAACGCTGAGAGGCATCGATACGGATCGGGTCATTATAGATTAATAAAATCTTAGTGGATTAGGATGATAATTTAAAATTGCTTTGAGAAAGAAATCAGAAAACGCGAAAGGGGAAGAAGAACCCGAATGCACTGTACGCATGTGTACAGGTTGTCTAATTTGGGCGAAAACCTTAGCAAAACAAACCGATTGAATTTCAGTGAACATCACCGAAACATGATATGATCAAATCTGATTCAAACTGAATAGAATATCACGATTTGAGCGAGAAGTTTATCAAGTATAATTATTCTTGTGCGCATAAGCACATGACACACAACTCTCTCAGTGTATTGTAGAGTACTTTCAGCAGAAACGGGATGTTTGATGATCAGTGAGATGGTTGAGAAATACTAGATCGGACAACTGAAAGAAAGACTGAGTCATTGCATGTGGTTAGAGAAAACGTTTTGAATTTCCTACGCAATTGATATCTATTCTCAAACGTTTACGTCACATTGCTTTGTATTTATGATGCTGTTTTTCACTTTTTCTTTGTGGCTGTATGTGATGACAAATGACCTTGGTGTACAACAAGCTGAGAATCCATCCATTAGGCTGAATAAATCGATTTTTGACTTTGACTTGACTGAACTTGATTTACATTTAACCTGATGAACACCGCTATTACCTCTCAGGATATCAACATAGTATTTCTAATTGACAGCTTTCTTTAGTAATTGCAGTTCAGCATCAATTCACTACCAATTTCCTCATAACATGTAACATGTTAAACAGGAACGTGGATCGGTTGGAAGAACACTTGTTTGCATTTTGCCTGTGATAGCCCAAGTTATTCGTTACGGTAGTCGTCCACTAATCTGACTCAGCCAATTGAATCATTCATCCAATACTTCTCGGCTATACGCATTGTGTAGGACAAAAATGATTCCACTAAACGAATTAAATCTTGCGCTTCTCCACGAAGCTGGTCTTGTATTACTCGTCATAAAAATGGCTGGATAAACAAAAAAACCTAGTAATGAATAATGTGTCTTTTTAGCGAATCCAAACTTTTCGACAGGTCTGAATGAACCGACAAATAAACTTGCTTTCCTGTTTGATAAATTCTCAAAGCGTTTGTTACGCCTTGCCCAATACCCTTGACGGAATCGACCGCGCCCGATTCCGGGAGTATACGTCACACAAGGCAAACATACTGTTCTGATAGCTTTCGTACCCTTGCGCCATATTTCCGACATAGTAGTAAAACAACTCGCACGGAGTTATCTTGTAATATACCTAAATTGGTTAATTTTGAAAGCCATATTCAGTAATCAATTATTAGAACAGATCACATATCCGCTGATCTAATCAACAAAAGACAAACCGGAGAACAATTATATTAATCAGTTCACCCCATTCCATGCATCTTCACATTTCAATTTATTCTTCCTGATTGAGCGAAAATGGGCTAACAATCCAATCAAAATAGTACTCGTAAGCCTGATGTTCAGTAGTTATTTTCTTCTCTATTCCGTGGGATTAGATGCAGTTGATTTGTCAATCACAACATTTTACTTGGCTCCCAAGTGTGCTACTTGGAAACCACTCACTGACGTTTGAGAAATGACACAGCCTATTTGGTCTGTGTCGTTCAACAGCTGTATGTCTTTACTAAAGTGAAACCAAGTTCAAAAATGGAGCATGGATTTTCAATTGGTATTTGTATTTGACGGTTTTGTATAAGGTCTGCACTCCATGAGAACAAACCTAACCACATGACTGGGATGCAGAAGTTGCCTTCAACTGGATACCTTGCGTTCGGCCACGCCTCGCTTAGAAGTAAGGTCTCTCGCAATGTTTGCTATTACCGGTGCATGTAAAAGTTACCTTTTCATCAAGATTGCACTTAGACATGGAAGATCACTGAGAAACTCTTCCCATATCTGATCGGTGTCAGAGCCACAGAAAGGTATTTCAACCAGACATAACGTGCACCGTCATCCGAAATGTACGCTAAGCCGCATAACTGAAAAATGAAATGATGGAATAATTGTGAGCAAATATTTTTAAATTTCTTGCTTTGCTATCATCAGGCCAATCGTCATTCTGTTCTACTCGATGCCGGTTTTTTTTATCACCAGTTAAACTAATGTATTTTCTGCATGATGGGTTGTGTCTATCCACGAAGTTGATAATAAATGATTTCAAGTTGGTGCGCCGCCTCGCGGTTCCAATCGCTTACTGAATCTTAATTGCTTCGTCATATAAAGCCATGAATTATATCTTACATGACTTTTCTTATCTCTCCAATGAAATGTAACAGTGGTACACTATTCATTCCTTATTGCATGTTCTCGATGAGATCGTAAATTTTGCGGTAAAACACATTTATTTGCTATCCAACGACCCCAATCTCGAAGTGATTGAAAATCTATTTTCTATGCCGAAAAGAAATAATAAAATAGGAAACCCACACACATTGTATCACGTAATAGATGCCAAAGTTAGACACCAGTTCAATGCCAAATAATCAAATCTTGCGTCACGAATGTGGTAAAACCGACTGTTGAATAAACTAGATAAGAACCGCAAAAAAATACACAGATTATTGATCCGCTTATCTTGTGCACCGACCGCGATCGGGGTGCTTTTGCGAACAAATACCGTGGGCACATTATTTTCAATTGTATTCCGATGATTTTCTGATGGTTTGCAAGGAGAGCTACAAAATTCTGTCTA